AAGTAAATAATTTTGAATAAAATAAACAAAATTGATAAAAATATAAATATATTATTTTCAGCCTGAGACAAAGAAAATAGTAAATAGATCCAAAGTTTGTTATAAACCACATAATTAATAGGTAGCAACAAATTTTATTTGAAAAAGGACTAATTATTAACAATACCCAACCATAAGGTCAAAGATTGGCAATATTAGTAGGTAGAACACAATAAGAAAATCATTAATTAAACGGTTATGATAAGTTGAATTTCATTTAATTTAATTAAAAAGGATTATTAGGTGGTTGTTACGTGCCAATTATGTACTTTTATTTTGAGTGATTAGTATGAATGATTTTATTTTATCTGATTTAATCAATTTTTTATTTATTTATTCATTTTAGCTCATTAAAATTCAGAAAATTGATTGAAGCTCGATATTATACTTCTTCCGTCCCATAAGTAAATATCTATTTATTTTTTTCACAGAATTTTATGTATATAGACATTATATTGATACGTAGAAAGAATAAAGTAGAAAACGACTAAAATATCATTATTAGTATTGTTAAAGGTAGTAAGAGTATTTATAATATTATGTAGATAGTACAGTTGCTAAAAAAAAGACAGAATTGAGTATTTATTATTATCTTATATTTAATTAAGTAAAATTTATAATATCTTAATTAATCTTATAATTATACGCTGGGTTAAAATAATACTATCACTGTCTCTTTTATAAATTGATATTTACTTTTTTTATGTTATTTTTTTAATAATTATTATTATTATATAAAAACGTAATATAAATTAAGAGCGACAAAAATATTTTTATTAGTATTTTATAATACAAATATAATAGCATTTGTATAACAAATTATACAATATAATAATATAGTTGCAGCCTGCAATCTGAAGCGAGAAAATTGCAAAAAAAGATAACCGCCGATACTATGGGAGAGTACCGTTTATTTTTAATGTTAAAAAATAAATATGAACCTATTAAGTAAATAGAGAAAATATTATGTACTTCCATTCTAAATCAACGAGACTTTTTGGAGTTTTGTAATAAATTAAAAAATAATAAGATTTTATTAGTTAGTTAAAGCGTGTAAAAGTTTTTAATATTTTTTCTAAATGTGTATAATGATATGTTTGTAATTTAAGTAAAAATTAAGGTATTTTGGTATTAGTTTATGATTACTTTTCTAAAATAAAAATTAATAATTTGAAGTGAGACGGATAAAAATAATAATAATATATATATACTTTGACGTGACGCCTCAGGTCACTTGCCACACGTGGTTCGTCTAGTGTAACTTTTTCGTCAGACATGGTTTGCAGGGTATTAAGTTCGGCTGAAAGTTTAGCCATTGCTTACTTTCGGATAGCAGTTACGGATTCTCACGTTGTAAAAAAATAAAATAAAATAATATCAAGTATATATTTATATAATATAAATACAAGTTTTAAACTAATAACGTATGACAATAGTTCATCTATGACATATTACAATTGATTCCAACCAACAATATTTATTAACACAACTCATATATAAAATAGAACTTCCAATGCTTATTCACACTCTACACAACGATATTTTATTTCTTCTATTTTTATATATTAATATTTATTATATTTTATGTGTTATTATAGCTAGTAAACATGATAAAAATCAGCTTTGATCGAAATTCGAAAAATCCGAAATTCTAAATATTTTTATTAATTTTTTAAATTTTTTAATTTGTTTTATATTTTATTATTATTTTATAATATTAAATATATATATAATATATAAAAATTAAATATATTAAAATATAATTAATAAATTTGAGTTTTTTATATTAAAATATAATATTTTCTAATAAAATATTAAATATGTATGATAAAAAAAATATTAAAACGTTATATTTCGAATTTCGGATTGGTTTGAATTTTAAGTATACCGATCCGATCCGAACCGAAAATCCAAAATTTTTTAAAAATTCAATCAGATCCAACCCTAAAATCCGAATCAAATTTTAAATTTCAGTTTAATTCGGATTGAATTTTCGGATTTCGGATATTTTGCAACCCCTTAACTAAAAGGGGTTACTACCAACCATTATATAGATATATATATTTGATACGTGTATGGTATATTTTGGATTATTGTTAGTTTAATTTAGTTTAAATAATTAATATATTTAAAGGTATTGTCGGTTTTTTTTTTTTTTTTGCTTTTATTTTTTTTCATTTTTTTACCTTTTACTTTTCCTTCATTTTTTAATAAAAAATAATATATATTAATTATGTATATATATACTTAAATATATTTATATTATAAAAAATTTTAATCTTTACAAATAATATTCATATTTTATTTAAATATTTTTAAAAATCTTGAAAAGATATATATTTTGATTTATTTAATTATATATATTGCTTTTTTAATGCCTTAAATTAATTTTCCCCTTTTTTTTTAGCTTGTCAACTAAATTTATTTGATTATTAATTTTGGTAAAGTTAACAAATCAACTTTTAACTTTTTATCATTTATCTAATATTTTTTACAACAAATATTACTATTTTTATTATATTTTTTCTCTTTATTTTTTTAAATCTCTAACTAAATTTTAAAAAATAAGCTCATTTATTTTTATCATTTTTTAATAATATATTTATTTTTTTAAATTTTCATGTCAAATCTAAATAAGCTAATTTTACCGAGACAAAAAAAATTCAATTATAGCTAGAACACAAAAACAACAAAAGTCTTTATCTTGTGGTAATAAGGCACATACATCAGCTATAGAGACAATTTGTCTCATCGATTTAGATGCATATAAGAGACAAATTAAATGGTTGGCGTAAGTCAAATTATTGTTAAACATGTAGAGAAATACTCTATATCATTTTAGTGCAAAAGAAAATTAATATGGATTGATTTTCATGGTCAATATTGTGGCTGATTAATCAACCTTGGAAAACAATGTTGATCAGTGTGTATATTTGAGAGATTGATTTTAGAAAAAAAGAACATATTCGAGCTCCACATTTGTCTCATTCATTCTTCATATTCTAAATTTGTGTTTATCACTCAAACTCTGCCATAAAAGTCACCTGATGAAGGAGTTTATTGAGATCCAATCGAAACTAATGATCATCTCTTGAGCTGCATTATTATTAACTAGTTGTAAGTTGGTGGTGTTATTAATGTCTAATAACGGTCAATTACTTATGCGGCATTTGCAACGTGAGCTGTTAGAGAGGAAATGGGTTGAAAGAGTATTCGGTAGTTTTATACAATCAAATTACAGTGAATTTACTCTTAAATTGATATCCCTTCATATGTATATTGGTTTATAACCAAATAAGATCAACATATACCCCCTCTGTCCCATAATAAAGTATCCATTTTTTCATTTTAGTCTGCCCCATAACAAAGTATCTATTTCCTTTTTTAGTAACCGTACTATCTACCTAACATTACAAATACCCATACAACTTACAATATATTACACAAATGCTATTACATTTATATCACACATACTAATAAGGTTATTTTAGTCATTTCTACTTTATTCCTACTATATCCCAATATAATACTAATATTTCTAAAACTATGTGCAAAAAGTAAATGAATATTTAATTTCATGACGGATGGAGTATTAGTTTTGGTGGCCCTGTATTTATTTCATTGACATTGTGTTGAATTTATCATGCTTCAGGGAGTTAGCCATTTTTAAAGTGTTCGAACAAATTTGATCAAACCTTATTTTCCAATAGAGTATATCATAAATAAGCATCAACTAAACAAATTTCACACAACCAAACTTCCACATCCAAATTCGACATCAAACCCAACAAACCCTAAGCTTTTGGTGTTGGATTATAAATCCAATTGTGAGTTAAATGTAACTATTAGGGCTATCAGTCGTATTAAGCCTAAATTAAGTGATCTCTAAATTTATTGTGCTTAGATATATTTAGTAAGTGCGGGTCTTCTATGTGCAGAAACCCGATAATTTATTAATTGGGTGATGAGACCAATTAATAATAAGGGATATATAAATAGGGTTGTTATGCAGGTCTAGACGCAACAACCATTACGTTCATATCCCATCGTGTGAGTAACAGCAGAAACAAAACCCTCTATTAATTTTGCAGATCTGAATTCTACTATGCGGAGGAATAAGGTTAGATCTAATTTACTTTATTTTTATCTCAATTATTTTAACACGGTAGATTCTGAATTTAGGGTGCAATTTTTTATAAGTTCCAACATTTGGCCTCCAACCCACCTTGTATATCAATAATTCATTTGGTAGGTATTGTAGAATACTGCAAGCAACCGTGTCATTGATTTATAAAAATAAAAATAGAACTAATACTTAGGGGTGTATTCATAATTTTAGTGATAATTAATATTATTTTATTTTAATTTTTATGGTGGGTCAATTGACTCACTTTGCTTAAGACTGCATCCGCCCATGACTACATTTGTTCCTTTTGGGTATGTTCTAGGTAAAATTTGATCAAATTTAATAACTTGAGGGTGTTTTGCGCACATTTTATTATAATATATATCTGTAAAATACTAATTTATTTTAATCGCCATGCAAATGTTAAATAAGTTAAATAAAAAGTTTATTAGTGAATATAAGAAGTTATAAATATTCATATAATACTCACGAAACTCTCTTTATCTAATGCAAAAAAATTTAATACGTGTTAGCATTGAAATGTTGTCATTTCTCATTTTTATCAATTACAAAACAATTATTTTTTAATTTAGTAATTGTACTGCCTATTTAACATAATAAATACCTTTTCAACTCACGCTATATCATTACTTTTATATTAAACAATATTAATAGAGGTATTTTAGTTGTTTTCACTACAATCAATTATAATACTAATATTAAAAATTATACGTACAAGAAGTAAACGATAACCTTAGACCGGAACAAATGGAGTATTTTTTTCATAAAATATTTATCAAATATTATTTGATATCAAATGCAAATAAAATTTTCCCAAACCAAACCAAAAAAAATGCACACATGAAATATGTCGTATTTGATTGATACACGATGGCGATGATGATTGAGTTTTGAGTTTGAGTCCCAAGAAGAAAAGAAAAGAAAAGAAAGGAAAGGAATTACACTAAAGGACAAACAAATTAAACATTAAATACTAAAACAAGGCACACAGACAGAGACACGCTATGCATCAATTAATTAATTAATTATGGGAGGGGGGTGGAGGTGGGGGTGGGGGTAGGGGTTGGAAAAAGAGATCTGCCACGTCACGACTGAGCCCCTTTTCCGGGTTGGAAAGTCCATCCGCACCTTTATGGTAGTTCACGAACGCATTCCGCGCGTAGTTGACCCCCGGCTTCATGACCCCCCTAACCCCCCCACTCGACAGACACGTCCACTCCCAGTTCATCGCCATCCACGCGTCCTCCGCCAGCCAATTCAGCTTCGCCACCGCCTCCTCCTTCGTCACCTGATACTCCCTCATGTAGCAGTCTATCGACGTGTACGGCTCCCCCGCCCTGTGCTCCCGCTGCACCACCAAACTCAAATTCAAATTCAAACTCAAACTCAAATCCAAATTCAAATTCAAATTCACTTACGGTGTAGGTGGCGAAGTCGTTCATGTACCGGGTGTAGAGACCCGTGGCCTCCAATCCGGGCGGGCCGCTCATGACCCATTTGAAGTGATCCTCGTTGGCATTCTCCATCCCCATGACGTAAGCAGCGACGGTTCCATGGTTGCCGGAATCGTACAGTCCGTCCATGGTGACCTTCAGAAACGTAGGCGTCTCTTCCCCCACGTACCAGCTGTTCCTCTTCTGATAAAAATCTGAAAGCTTTCTAAACGCTTCCCGACCATACTCCACCGCATCGTATCCCCTTCTTACATGCTCCGATTTCACCACTCTATCCACGTCATCAAAAGTACTCCAAATTGCCCTAAGCGTCGCTCGCATGTAATCTGGAAGTTGCAGCCCTTCATCGTTGTCAAGTTTCGAAATATCCCACCTAACCCCAATCCAAAGATTCTTTATTTCATCGATACATAATTAAATACTAGATTAGACAGAGAATATTCTTTTGAGTAGTACTCACGTTGGATTTCGCATCATCTGGTGCAACTTTTTAGCTTCGTCAGCTGTGGCGTAATTGTCGAAGGTATCGTTCATGAGGATGATGAGTAATAAGCCTTTGGCGCCGCACATTCTGGAGAAGGAATCGCGGGAGACGAGGTTGCCTGCACCCCATAGATACCCTTCCACAGGCCTGTCTCTGAAGTAACCTAATTTTGCCCAGCTCGCGATGTCCAAACCCTTCCACCACCTGATTTGTTTTATGTCAATTAATTTCGACATTTATGTAATACCAATTCAGTAATGGCGGTCGGTAGATAGACTTACTCGATGATTTGATTGATCTCTTGTTTGTGGAGGTTCTGCAAGGAGTTGAAATCCAGCCTGGCGAACCTGGCGAGGAGTTCGTTCTTGGATGGCTGCTTGTCGTAGATGGGGATGTAATGACGTGTCTCTAATCTAGGAAGTGTCCGGTGGGTGGGCTTGTCTAGAGCCAGCGCCACCTTGTCTCTAAGACTAGGATGCCATGATCCGCCATTGCCGCCGCCGCCGTGCTGCTGCAGAGCCTGTTTTAAATGTCGGATTGCGAAAACCCTAGCGTCCTCTAAAATGTGGTCCTGACGAAACCTCACGTGGGTTGCTTCGTACAGACTCACCAAACCCTCCACGTCCTTTCCTAGACCTTCCTTGAATGTCCCGTCGCTATTCTTAAATTTCTCGAAAACACCTGCAAACCAATTTCATTAATTAATTAATTAGGATTAATTGAATTGGTCCAATTAGACCAACTCCATAAGTCTCCAATTATAGAGAAATTTTCCATAATTGGAACAAAATTGCTCCAATCGAAATTATTCTTTCCTCTATTTAAAGAATCCTCCATATTCAGAGTTACAAATTTGGAGTATAAATTTTTTTTTTCTTTTTTTCTTTTGGTCCTTTAATTTTTTTTATTTTTATATATTTAGTATTTTAATCTTTTTTTTATATATTTTGTATTATTTTATTAATTATGAATTAGATATAATTATTCATATTACAATTTTTTAAAATAAATGAACATTATATTAGACACAAAATATTTTCAAAATTAATATTTAAATAAATAAATATTATGTAATTGTTTAAAAATAAAGAATATACGTAGAATATTTTCTTAAAGAAAAAATAAAGTGAATTAGAGTGGAGTTAAAATTTAGAGAAAAATTTAAAACGAAAATTTGATAAAAATAGAAAATTTGATTGGAAATGGTGTTAGAAAGATAGACTTACTTGAAGGAACCTTGAAGCCATGCAGCCTGAACAATCGGAAATGGAGAGCAGTAGTGAAGAGATCGAGATCGTGATGATGATGACGATGAGGTAAGAAGTAGTAGTCGAAGATGGATCCAATCTGGTCCTGAATTTCTTCCTCAAAGTAATATGCGACTCCGAGGCGGGTGAGGGTGTCGATGAGGATCATCTTGTCTTCTGGTTTGGCAGCCTTGTCGACCACCATTGCCCTAACCTCCTCCTTCATTGCATCCAGTTCTTCATCGTAGACCTCGACCTGGTTGTCTGGAGAAAGCAAAACATTACCCCACATGTCAATGGAGTGGGGCTTCGACTGCCTCTCTTCTTCTTCTTCTTCTTCGTCTATCTGTACTTGTGCAGCTTCAACTCCCCGCGAAATAGCCCAACTGGTGGATGGTAATAAGTATGGCTTCTTCGTGCAGCTTCTGAACCTCAAACAATGTCGATGATTTTGACGTTGTTGATCTGATATCATTATTTGTCTGAATTAGTTCATTATATCATCTCTATCTTGTTTAATATATCCCTAATTTTTTTTTAAAAAAAATGTAGAATTTCTCATTTGGCTTAAAAGAGTGAATGCAACTTCACCTATTATCAATTGGTTTTAGGTTAAAAGTTCAAATTCCTTTTTAACATTATATAACAGAATAAAAAATAGCAAAACCTGACACGACATGAATTAAATGGGTTTGGGTCAAGAATTTCAACCCGATAATATGTACGGGTTGACACGATGGCAAAAACTGATTCGACATGAATCCAACACGAAGTAAATGAGTCTGGGTCAAGAATTTCAATCCGATAATATATACGGGTTGACATGAACCCAATACGATGATAAACGGGTCAGGTTAGGGTCAAGGCTCTCAACTTGAATCCGACACAACAACTATCTAATTTAGTGTGCGTACACGTTACATTAGAAACAACAAAAACTAACATAACACAACAATGTGACAAAAAATAATTGAATTTAAATTAAAGATTTCAGCTTAATTATGTATACGGATCAATACAATTCAATATGAACTCGAACACGATAATAAACGGGTCGAATTAGAGTTGAATCATTTAACCCGTTTAAAGTATTCAATCCGATACAACTCGTTGCCAGCTCTATAGACAGTGTTTAAGTCCGGATCCTTTCTTAACACATATTTACGAGATCATACTAACTTAATTACAAACTACTTAATTCCTATATATATATATATATGTATTTATGTATTAGTGTAATGTTACCTGGAGCTGATTTGGAGCGGCGGCGACAGGCGGCGGCCATGGGAGGAGTGGAAGCAGCTGCTATCGGAGGAGACACAAAAATAGAAGCCATATATATATATAAATATATATATATATGGAGGAATGAAGACGACGACTATATATGCTTATAATCTCACAGTATATGTGTAAGTATTAATGCGGTCGGGTATCGAACGCAAGACCTCGTCGGATCCATATTTATAGAGGTGCGTAATAATGAGATTTGCCTATTTTTGCCCCGCCTGAAATAATGTTGAGATTAATTTGGGTAAGGACTGAGGAAGAGTAGACGAGACCAGAGAAGACAAAGACAAGAGTACCTGATCGATCTGCATCTGGGAGTATTACTTAATTATTACTCGTATAATACTTATATAATTTTTTTAAGTAGTCGTATGGTCAGTGTTGACTGATCAGTAATACTACTATTATAAACAGTATAAGTTAAAATGATTAATTTATATTTAATGTGGAACAGATAATTAATCATATGTTGTGATCCGACTTTTAAGGGACCAATAAAAAATTTTATTTCCAAATATAAATAATAATTGATGTGAATGATTACGCATGGCCAATGGATGGGTCACTTCAAATTTTTTATATTAGCTAGGTACGGGTGTGTTTTCCCATTTATATTTTAAATTTAAACCGTTGTAGTATTATATACTTTTTCAGTCTAGACAACAAAGTATTTATATTTTCATTTTAGTTTGTCTCATATATTTTTTTTTAAGTAATTATATTATTTATGTAACATTACAAATAATTTACAACTTACAATATATTACTCAAATAATATTACTTTTATATCACACATACTAATAAGGATATTTTAGTCATTTCTATTTTCTTCATACTAAATCTCAATATAATATTCCCTCCGTCCCAAACAAGGTGCAATATTTACTTTTGGCACGAGTTTTTAGGTGGGTAGTATTAGGTAGAATAATTTAGAAATTAGGTGATGTGATGGAGAGAGAAATATATATTTTATTTTTTTATTTGGATGATGTGAGGGGATAAAGTGTGGGATAGAAATTAAGTACTCCCTCTGTCCACACACAAAGTATACATTTACTTTTGGCGCGGTGTTTAAGGAATAATAGTATTTTAATTATAGAGGATAGTTGAAAGTAGTGTAATGTCATTTTTGCCCTTACTTTTTGATGTAAAAATAATGATGTGATGTAAAGTAAGGGTATTTGTGAAAAAAGTGAGGTATTTAATGAAATGTTTACTTTGTAATTGGACGTCCCAAAATAGAAACATGTATACTATCTAGTTGGATAGAGTATAATTAATTATTTCATATTTTGGAAATATTGCAGGGTGTTTGGAACATACCAAAAAGAAAATATTGCAGGGTGTTTGGGACGAAGGAAGTACTAATATTTTTAAAGCTACGTACAAAAAGCAAATAAATACTTAGTTATGGGATGGACAGAGTATAATGATTTGAAATAAAATATTGATTTAATTTTTTTTTTTTGATATATTTTTATGAAAATATGATGAATAGTTTTAGTTTGAATTTAAAATGATAAAAAAAATAATAATTTTTTTTATATTTTCAAAAGAATAATATTAATCCAACAGTAAAACATTCTTAAAAATCCCCACAAACACAACCAAGAAAATGATAGAAAATATCTACAACCGTAATTTTACTTTTCTAAAAATAAAATAAAATAATGACTATAAGTATGAATATTAATTCTCAGCACAAATTCACACACTACACAACAAACATGGTAATAACAAATTGCGTTGTCCAAAAAATACTGCACTTGGGGATGTGGATTCGATTCGAACCAAACTGAAACCTTGAATTTTGATGATTTTTTATTTATAATAATTAAAATTGAAACGAAATTAAAATTTTACAAAATCAAACCAAACAAACCGAATCTATATTTATATACTCCGTACGTCATGTAAAATATCAGGGCGGCATGAATATTAAAAAAAATGGATAAATATAATTTTATATTCATTTATAATAAAGAACAAATTGTAATTTAAAATATAAAAAGAAAAAAAAATTAATGAAAAAAAAATTGGGCATAAGTTTGAATAAGAATGGGAGAATTAATATATTGCTTAAATATATGATCAAATACAAACACTCAAAAGTAATATTGTATATATTATTTATTAATATATCATTTTTATTTTTTTAAAAGTTCAATTTTTTCGATTAATAAAAATAAAAATAAATAAGAATCATATTGGAATCAAAATCAAAATTTATAAACTCGATTTTGAATCGAACCGAACCAATTGATCAAATAATAAAAACAAAAAAACCTGTCCAACAAGATTTTTCTCGACACAATTATTATTCTCTTAAAAAAAATTAGAATCCAACATAAAATATTATTTTTATATTATATATAATGAATGTCAGTATACCTGGTAAAATATATAATGTCATTTTTTAATTTTTTTAAACAAAAATAGAAATATATATAAATATTTGAAGTATTCATCACTCCTACATAAATATGATAAAAAAAAATAAAAAAAAAAAATTGTGACATAATTCTTAGTATATATAATATTTACTATTTCCTCCGTCCAATTTCTATTGTGCTAAAGTACGGTTTTTTAGGTTATTATTTTTTTGTTATGAATTGACAAATTTGCTCATAATTATATGGTAGAGATTAAAAGTAATAAATGAATAAATTGTAAAAATATAAAATTTGTGTTTAAAAAAAAAATAAAACAATAGTTATTGGACGTCCCAAATAAAAAAGTAGGATATTAGTTTATGGACGGAGGGAGTATAATTTATTCTTTCATTAAAATTAATAATTCAATACAAAAATATATTTTATTACTAAATACTAAACAAACATACCCATCAATTTTCATTAAAATATATTCTTTTCTAGAAAAAAAAAGTATGTTTGTTTTATCATTTTAGTTTATTTACAAATATATATTTATACCATCTTTATTAAAAAAATCTCATTCTATTATTTAAATTTATATTTACTATTTGTCATGTATGTATACACTATTACAACTTATGGAACCTTATATATAATTTAACTTCAATATATTTAATCAAAAAATTAAATTACCAAATCTATTGTAAAACTTCAAATTTTCTCCTACAAAAAATATTAAAATATTATTTTAAAATTTTTTGTTAAATTTTTTTTAATAAATTTGTAAAAGAGAGAAGGAATAAATTTTGTACTCCCTCCGTCTCATTTGTATCTATCCGTTAACTTTTTACACAAAATTTTAGAAATATTAATATTATATTAGGATGTAGTAAAAATAAAATAAAAAAACTTAACTACCCTTATTAGTAATGTATGATATAAAAGTAATGACGTTTGTGTAATATATTGTAAATTAGACGGGTATATGTAATGTTAAGTATATAGTATAGTTACTGGAAAAAAAATTGATACTTCCTCTGTCCCATTGAAAAGTTGTCATTTTCTATTTTCGTCTGTCTCAAAACAAGGTTACCATTTCCTAATTTAGTAATTGTACTACCTACCTAACACAATAAATACCCTTTCAACTTACACTATATTACACAAATGTCATTACTTTTATATTACACAATAGTAATATGGGCATTTTCGTCTTTTTCACTATAACTCATTATAATACTAATATTAAAAAATTTACGTGCAAAAGTAAACGAGACGGAGAGAATATTTAGTTACGAGATCGATCAAAATATAAATAAATAAATAAATAAATAATTAGAAATATACGAATGGGCCTGACACAATGATAATTGGGGGATACAATACAAAAGTGATACTTTATTTGTGGAAAAGATTATCTAAATAAAATAAAATAAAATACAAAAATGATACAATTTCATTACGGTTGTTGCAGTACAACCTGTCGAATCTACCGACAAAAACCCATTTTCTTAACTGATTTGATTTGATTTGATTTGATTTTAATTTTAAAATATACTCCTAAAATACAATAGACAGTTATTTCGCCTTCCCATTTTTAAAAAATAGTGTCAATGCTGTCATTACAATACAGTATTATTTCTACTACCTATTTTACCTTTCATTTAATATCAACCGTTGATTTGAATTTAATTCACGATGGATGCTAATTGAACGGTTCAGATCTCTTGATGTATGTATACATAGTATAGGATGTGATCCGATTTTGAAGCTGGTCAAATTCACGATCAGGAAAAAGATATATATATATATATAAATTATAATTTCTGTAAATTAATTATATATAGAAAGTTTGTGATTAATTAAATATTACCTCTATAATTCAAAAGTATTCCTATATTTTTCAGGGGAGGTTTAATGTGACAGTATATTTGGTATAGACAATGAAGTAGTAGAAAATTAAATTAAGAGAGAAAATTCAACATATAATTAATTTTTTTTATTTTTCTGCTTGATAAAATAAAAAATTTACTTTAAAATATAATAAAGATGTGTCAAGGGGCAAAAGAATTAATAACAAAATTATATTGAATCGAATATGTTTTAGCAAATAAATATTCATCTATTTAGTTAGTACTTTTTTATTTATTTTATTCGACTAGTAATTTAAATACAATATTTTATGAAATAAAATAATTTTCATTATAACAAAAATTATAAAAATTAAATAATAATAAAAAAGAACTTTGTAGAATGAACAAATTTATTTTTATAAAAAAAAAAACTATAAAAATTAAATAGAAAAAAAAAACTTTCAATTGTGTATTTGTTTTGTAAGATAATTTGAATATGTACTTTTTATGTAAAATATAGAGAATTGTTAGAAATATAAAAATAATAAATGTACGTGTGTGATATATTAATATTTTTGAAAAAATATATAATTTTTTTTTTAAAAAAAAAGAACAGATCTCTCCAATATTCTATATGTGATATATTAATATTTTTGAAAAAGCAATTGAGATATATATCAAATATTATTATCATGTGTAGTTATCATAGTCAATATTACTTTTAATATTCATATTCTTATTTTTTATTCTCGACAAAAAAAAAATGCATTACTTTTATTAATAAGTCATTAATAAATATCTTGATCGTGTATTTAAATTATTAAAATATTTTGATATTACAAAAAAAAAAAAAAAACTTTTTATTCTTATTAAAAAAAAAAAAAAAAAAAAAAAGTATTTTAGAGCACAGACCAAACAAACCCATTGTCTTATTAATTGTGCATTTGGGTACATAGAATTAGAAGAAAATGATAATAAATAATACAATTATAGGTGATTTTTTGGTACATAGAATTAGAAGAAAATGATATTAAATAATACAATTATAAGTGATTT